ATCAATCCAGAAAATTCTATTCACTGTTGTTGCTTTCAGTTCACAAATACTTAAGATGCCCCCTTTCCCCTCACAGAGCTACTATTCCCATAGTTCTCCAGGAAAAGGAATTGACTGTTAAAGCAGTCTCATACTGCTAAACCATCTCTATTTAAGCAGGGCATTTTGGCTTCTGATTGGATCCCGGAAGGTCTTGTTTTTTGGTTTGGCATTAGTCAGCTGGCTCCCGCGAGAGCTGAGTCCCCAAAAAACGCATGCCCTGGCACAAATGATACTTGCCCAAAAATGGAAAAAAGAAGAAGTCCCAGCTAAAGAAGAATGGATACAAAAACTTGTGGAATATGCAGAAATGGCGAAACTTGCCGGGAAAATAAGAAATCAAGATAACAAACTTTCTATAAAAGAATGGAAATGGTTTGTTGAATATTTTCAAGCAAACTGTAAACACATAAGAACCTTGGCAGGATTATTGTAATGACCTGCAGTTTTATAAATATTTAAAGTAGATGAATAAATGAGCAAATTAAGTTAATTTGGATATGCAGAAAAATATTAAAAATAAATTTAAGGAACTGCAGAAAGAGGGGGAAGGAAGTCAAGTTTTGAAATGTTAAAATGATTGTAAAATTATTGAAATGTATAAAACTGAAAATCTATATTGATCGATAGATCTATGATGAGCGTCCCAATTTGATCAGCCGAATGTTGGAGGGCAGGCACTCTGGGAATTGTAGCTCTTTGTGGGGAATCTTCCTCTCAGCGCCCTTAATGAACTACGGTTCCCAGGATTCTCTGGGGGAAACCATGGCTACGGTGTGATCCTGCTTCAACTGGGACCTTCCAATGGGACCTTGCATGGCTGTGTTCTGTCCCATCTGCTGCTCCACTCCCTTTAGCCACTTGCCATGCCCAATTTTTGCACCTGGCCCCGCCCACTAATGACATGCGGCCCTGAGAAGGTTGGCCAAGAAGCAATGCGGCCCTTGGGATGGAAAAGGTTCGCTCCCCTCTTCTCTCTGTCATGTGGAAGTAGACTAACAATGTTCATATTCCCAAATATCTATTTACATGTATAGTATATGAGAAGGCAGGCTAAAATAAATAATACATATATGTGTGTGTATATAAATACAGAAGGGAGGCCAAGTGCAAAAAGTGTGAGAAACTCAGGATTGTGCTATCCAAGGACACTGGTGTTGAATTAGATGATTTGTTGGGACACTTCACAGCTTTGCAGCTCAGTGAAATCTTCTTGGCTCCTTCATCACCAACGGTCTTGCTTCTTGGTAACATCTCCCAAGATTACTGAACTTCTGCAAACTCTTCTGATTTTAGGACACTGAGACATTTTATTGCTTGTATGTTCTTTTGAGGGCTCCTGATTCTCCCCGCTGAGGTGCGCAGCTCCTTTTTCTCCCCCTTTTAATTGTTTGTTGTTGTGTCAAACTGGTCCTCCAAGGACCAATAGCATGAAATGTCCTTTACGAAAATAAAGAAGTGACTCACCGAAATGATACTAGAGGACGGAGAAAGGAGATTTATTGCAGACTCCAATAATGGCATTTCTCTGAGCCTAACAGGTGGATCCAATATAATCCTCTGGCACACAGCCCACTTTCTCAAGCTGTTGCTTTGGTTACCCCCTCAAAACTTTTCCAAAGCTTAAAGCAGGTTCCATTCACAATGTCCTGGTCCTGTTAGGTCCCAGCATGATAAATAAATATGTAGTTTTGGCAACAATTAAGGCTGTTTCCTGGGGACCTGTTTATAGAGCATCCATCCTGATTTTCTTTTCTTCTCTTTTCTTTTCTTTTCTTTTCTGCTGGGGGAGATTAGACAATGTTGACAATGAGCATTCATTCTGATCTGTTTGAGGGGAAGTTAGAAGATGAAGATATTAACCCATGCTGTCTTTCCCGTTCCCCTTCCACCCTATCTAATCACAAAAAGTCTTTATTGGGGGGAGGGCAAGTTTATTTTGCAAACCCTCCCAATCAACTATAATTGTGCAACCTGAATTTGCTGGCATGTGATTGAATCTCACCTGAAAATAGCTGGTCTGGAAGCACTCTCAAACTCTGGGGTCTGTGAGATGTCACAATTTATACAATCACTTCAACAGTTGATGCCAACCTAGGATTAGTCATGTGTGAATCCCCTTCTATCAAATTCAGAATTAGCCCAGTGTTTACAAGCTTTCTTGGAGAACTTTTAGAAAAAAGCTTGTCCAGAACCACTTGCCAAGCTTGGACTTGAAGGTACATTGATTCTGATGGTACTCTGCATGTGACCAGAGGTGTAGCAAGGTCAGCTGGTACCCAGTGCGATTTTTTTTTTGTCACCCCTCCCCCAGGCATGAGATGCCCCTGCATGTGACCATTGACATATTCCTTCCTGGGAATTGTAGTTTGGTTTTGCCTGTCCTTATATCAACTACTCAGCGCTTGCCATGGAGGAAAAAGGGGTATTTTTGAACCGTCCATGCCAGTACTTTTGCTCCACAATTGTCAGAATCAACAGAAGGACTTCTGCTAGTTATGGACATTAAAAAAAACATAACCTTCCCTAGTGCTCTGATTTAGTTTCATGTCAGTATTACTAGAATGTGAGTTTTTCTTCATTTCAGAAAGCAGATCCCTAAACACCTACCACTCTTTCCATGCATTATCCACACAAAGGGGTCTCCATCCATGTATAGAAAGGGCAACATCGCTGGCCCTTTTCCTGATATTCTCATGTGGCGAGACCTGGCATTTAAAGCACTAGGAAATCAATTTGAGAGTGGAAGTTACTGTAGATACCAAACTTCAGCAGAAAGGGAAGCATTGATTGATTGGCATTTATTGCCCTTCATTCACCATGTGGTTGCAAGACACATTACTGTATATGATGCATGTTGGCATCCGTTTGTCTCAAGAGACGATAGAGTGTGCCTCTGGGGTTAAAGTCACATTGCTGCGCTAGCAGCACCAAAGTGACCTCCCTGGGGCGCACGCCCAGGCAGTGTGTACGGAGGTCTTGGGCTGCCCAGACAACAAGACCCCCCTCTTGGCCTTGCTGATGTGGACCAAAGGAAAGCAGAGCAAGACATTTGGCACCAACTTGGCTGAAGGAGTTGCTGGCATACAAGGCACTGTCCAACAATCTCTGGCACTCCGCTCTGAATTTGTGTAGGGTTTACTCCTTAGCCTTTTCTTCTCCCAAAGATATCCCGCAAGGCAGTAGAGGTTTAGGATCAGAGTTTGCTTTCTAGATGGGCTACCTTCCCAGGTTGTCAAGCCCCATCTGCCCATCACTTCCCTCTACAGCCGATACAGAAACCACCTTCTTGGACCGTTGGTCTCATTTGCTCAATCTGCTGGAGCCTGTCTTTACATGCATGTGATTTGTTGTTGTTTAGTCGTTTAGTCGTGTCCGACTCTTCGTGACCCCCTGGACCAGAGCACGCCAGACACTCCTGTCTTCCCCTGCCTCCCGCAGTTTAGTCAAACTCATGCTGGTAGCTTCAAGAACACTATCCAACCATCTCATCCTCTGATGTCCCCTTCTCCTTGTGCCCTCCATCTTTCCCAGCATCAGGGTCTTTTCCAGGGAGTCTTCTCTTCTCATGAGGTGGCCAAAGTATTGGAGCCTCAGATATATATACACACACACACACACACACACACACACACACACACACAAATTAAATCATGGGAAGGCAAACTAAGGCCCGGGGGCCGGATCTGGCCCAATCACCTTCTAAATCTGGCCCCTGAAAGTGCAAGGTGTTCTGAGATAACTCCTCTTCCCCCTCAATCTTCTCACTGTTCCCACACCCCCAGGGGGAAGGTGAACAGACAGGAACAGCAAGGAGTTGGACGGAAGAGCCAGGAGCCTCTGGAGGTTGGCAGCGGGTCTCCTGCCAAGGCGTGGGCCTTGGCAGGTGCCCGATAATGCCAGTCCCTGATCCAAACCCTGATGATAATCATGTTAACATAACATGTACTCAGTACATTATAAGTGCTCAATGAGCTTCAGGTGCATTCATGGGTTGTCTCAGAACAGCTTACCACAAATCTGTAAAGTAGTTCAGTTTTGCTACCCCCATGTTTCACATGTGGGACTGAAACAGACAGATGGTGGGTTCATACCCCTCAACTGTCCCGGGAAAACTGGGACATTCTTTTTTTTCACATGAGAGCATGGTGGCCATTTTGGTTTCCACAATCTCGTCTCAAAAAAGGTGCTTCTTTCAGAGAAGCACTCTTGCACAGGTCACATGACTCATGTGGGGGCACGGTCCTGTAAGATGGCATCCTGATTTTTCACCTCGGCATGTTGGAGGGTGTGGTGGGTTTCCAGAGGGCTGTTGGGATACTGCCAGGGAGACAAAGTCCATCATGGCCCCACGTCGCCTCCGGTGCGTCCATCGATCTCCCGTAGACACGCAGTATCAGCAATTAGCGACAGGAGCTCCAGAAAATAGTTTGCCACATTCCAGGGCTGGTGCACGCTCTTATCAGCAGATAATGCACAGCGTAAGATGCACGCTGGAGAGCATATTTACAAGTTTATTCAGCGTTGGTCAGAACAAGGAAAAAACATGACCGCCTGCTTCAGCGTTCAGGCACCAAGAAAAAAACGAAAGCAATAGGAAACATAAACATCCTGCGAACAGGAAATGCGCAGACTCTGTGACTCACAAAGCCTGCTCCCTTTTTAGGTGGAACGGAAATATCCTAACAAGGGCATGTTGCTTCTTCCAGAATTTTAGTAGAACAGGAAGCTGTCTTATGTTGAGTCAGGTCATTGGTCCATCTGCCTCTGTATTTTACTGTATTTTATGCTGCTTTTATAATTAAGCGTTTTAAAGTGTTTTAAATTTGTTGTTAGCAGCCCTGAGCCCGGTTTTTGAACCGGGAAGGGCGGGGTATAAATAAAAAAATATTATTATATTTGCACTAACTGCCAGCAGCCCCTCTGCATGATTGCAGAAGGAAGTTCTTGCCACCCCTACCTGAAGATGCCAAGGATTGAACGCAGGATTTTCTGCATTCAAAGCAGATGTTCTGCCACTGAGCTATGGCTCTCTTGCAAGGATCCTTGCTCCAACATGATCCTTGATTTCCCCCCTTTGCTGACCCTCTAAGTGTAATGGGTTATTTGTGGGGCATTGGAATTCGTTCTTCTTCTTCTTTATTTTTTTCAAAATATAGTCCAGCCCCCCACAAGGTCTGAGGGACAGTGGACTGGCCCCCTGCTGAAAATGTTTGCTGACCTCTGCTAAATGGAGGCATATTCTGATCTCATTCTCCACCCACAAAAGTCTGTGCAAAAAGGCACATCTTGAGTTGGCGACTAAATGCCTACAGTGATGAGGCCGCCAGCACCGTGGAGAGCAGAGCATTCTACAGTGTGGGGGCCACCACAGTTACTCTGTGATGATTTTACCACCTCAAAAAATTAACGTACCTTGGAAACACTGAAGGAGGGTGTATCGCACTTGGAGAGTGAGAATGATCTGTATCACACTGAGGTGTGATTCAGCTAATTAGAATATATTCAAATGTGTGATTGACTCAGAGAAAGTTGCTACTTTGTTGAATCATAGATATTGCTCCTTAAAACAGGTTTGTGCCTTCCTTGGCGATTTTGAATCCAGAAACGGCCTCCCTATTTTGGACTACATGCACAACTAGAGAAGCAGAAGTGGTCCTCCTGTTGGGTGGCATTCTGGTGATGGTACCTACACCAGTGGTTGCTAAGCTGTGATGCTCCAGGTGTTTTGGAATCTTGCTACCACCAACCTCAGAATGCTTGGCGGAAGCTGCTATTCAACATCTGCAGAGCCACAGGTTCCTCATCGCTGCTCTAGAATATTCCCACATGACTTATGCAAATATGAGTTTCTTGTAGTAGAGCAAGCTATTGCTTAATATAAAAGCACTTGTTTACATGTAATTCCAAACCATTGCTTCAATATAACTGAATGTGATTTAAAGGACATACCCAAACCTTAGTTTGTTGTTACGTCCTAACCGGCAAACTGTGGTTTTCCGGCAAATTGTTAGTAAGTGAATTGAAGCATGCAAATGTAGAGTATTTCTCCTTCTTCTTCTTCTTCTTCTTCTTCTTCTTCTTCTTCTTCTTCTTCTTCTTCTTCTATTTATTAAATTTGTATACCACCCTTCATCTGCAGGTCTCAGGGTGGTTCACAGTACAAAAAACACCAACCCCCCCCCAAATACACAACAACAACAACACAAATCATAACTCTCCCCTGCCAAAAACACATTTAAAAGTACGTAGAATGTTGATCAGCCAAAGGCCTAAGAGAAGTGGAACATTCTTGCCTGGTGTCTAAAGGTGTATGATGAAGGTGCCAAGTGAGCCTCCCTGGGGAGAGCATTCCACAAACAGGGAGCCACTGCAGAAAAGGCCCTGTTCTTGTGCTGCCACCCTCTTGTGGAGGAGGCGCATGAAAAAAGGCCTCAGAGGATGATCTCAGGGTCCAGATTGGTTCATATGGGAAGAGATGGCTTTTGAGGTAGTCCTGAGCCATTTAAGGCTCTATAGGTCAAAACCAGCACTTTGAACTGGGCCCTGAAGCTAATTGGCAGCCAGTGTAGTCAGGTCAGAGTTGGTGTAAGATGCTCAAACTGTCTTGCCTCAGTAAGCAATCTGGCTGCCAAATTTTGCACTGGCTGAAGTTTCTGAACTGTTTTCAGAGGTCACGTTGCAGTAATCTATGAACCCATGTGGAGGACCACAGGTTATCTATCCCTCATCTATGTCATAGCAATCTTAATATGCTTATGTCCAACTGGGACCTGGTTACTGGGACAGGTTACTGGGACAGGTCAGGTCCGGCACCAGTATTTGGCATTCTGAGGCATTAGCTGTTTCCTTTGCCCTGGAAAGGGTCTCCTGGGCTCACCCCTTGCCTAGTCCATCAGGCCAGTTCACACAATAATTTAAAATGATAAATCACACATTTCCAACTCGTTGCAAAGACGATAAGGTCCCAAACAAAGCAGAACGGCAGACCAAGTTGTTGGACTATGCAGAGATGGCAGAAATGATTGCGAAAATCAGAAACCAGGAGGATCAAAACTTCAACAAATAACGGAGGAAATTTATACTAGAGAGACCACTGTAAACATCTGGACTCTTTAGTAGGTCTTAAATAACTCTTGTAATGTTACGTAGACTTCGGATACAATGGAGAACCAGAAAATTAGAGTGATATGCAGCTGAAAAGGCACGAGTGGTGCATGCTCTAGTTATCTCCTGCTTGGACCACTGCAATGTGCTCTATGTGGGGCTACCTTTGAAGGTGACCCAGAAACTACAACTACTATAGTCTAAGCTAGACTGGTGACTAGGAGTGGCCACCGAGACCATATAACACCAGTCCTGAAAGACCTGCATTGGCTCCCAGTATGTTTCCAAGCACAATTCAAAGTGTTGGTGTTGACCTTTAAAGCCCTAAATGGCCTCGGCCCAGTATACCTGAAGGAGCGTCTCCACCCCCATCGCTCAGCCCAGACACTGAGGTCCAGCGCCGAGGACCTTCTGACAGTTCCCTCACTGCGAGAAGCAAAGCTACAGGGAACCAGGCAGAGGGCCTTCTCGGTAGTGGCACCCGCCCTGTGGAATGCCCTCCCATCAGATGTCAAAGAGACAAACAACTACCTGACATTTAGAAGACATCTGAAGGCAGCCCTGTTTAGGGAAGTTTTTAATGTGTGACATTTTAATGTATTTTAATCTTTGTTGGAAGCCACCCAGAATGGCTGGGGAAACCCAGCCAGATGGGCGGGGTACAAATAATAAATAATAATAATAATAATAATTATTATTATTATTATTATTATTATTGTTATTATTATTATTAAAGAACCCATGGGGGGGAGGGAAGTCTAGAGATCTGGAAGAATCTTCTGTAACTTTTATTATTTGTGATTTTGAATTTGTAAAATCAAATAAAAACTACTTAAAAAACCAAAAATAAAATGATAAATCACACAAGGCAATTACATAACAAAGTCAAACCAAGTGAAACCAAGTTCAACTCTTACGGGGACCCCAGAAAGTATTTTCTGTTGTTTTTGTTGCTGCTCCCAATCCTCTTTCAAATGCCGTAATCTTAAAGAAGGAGAAGAAGAAAACAATGAAGAAAGCTAGATAGCATGCATTATTAACTCAAGGTATCTCTCCCTATGTTACCCAAGATCTCAGCGCAATGCCTAAATGTAGTCCACAGCAGAGGGCTCACATGACATCCATTGCAAACAACCCAGGGTTTCTACGACACAATCATCGGTGGAGATCAAATGGCCAACAAACATTGCATAATTTACCAAGGGGATCAAAGGAAGCAATTACTTGAGGGACCGAACTAACAGCAGCGGAGGGGGAGATAAAAATATCTCTGAATGGATGCCAAAGGCCTGAAACCGTAGTGGAGATTGGCAAAGGGTGCTTAAGATACATAGAAAGAAGCCTAGACAACGGGATGTCCCAGCAGAGATGTTGCTGGCTCCCTGGCATAAAGGGTGTTTTGGGGGAGAAATTTGGTTCAGTTCATATTGAAAGAGGAACCCACTTAATTCATGCTTCCTGAAACAATGCATGCGCAGAAACAGCCGTCCTTCGGAATTTGCACTTCTCCGAATTTGGAATGCTGTTCTCCAGTCAAATAACGTGTATGGAAAATGCAAACGCCACAGTTATATTGTGCTTACAAGTGCATAGCACACAACAAATGCAATATATTAGAGGGGATCGCTTTGCAAAGTGTGGAAAAGGCAAAATTTCATATACATATGAGTATATTAGGAGAAATCACCACTAAAATGTTGATGAACTTTATGAAGACTTAAAAAAATAATAATTTGCAAACTGGCATGGAGATGTGGAGAATGGGGAAAAAATGAGGGACAGCCAAACCTAAATGGACCAATGTGCCCGTCTCTTGTTAAGGATAGGGCAGCAGCATACATGTGAGTACAGAGACCTTCTGAGGTCCTTGAGCAGCGGCCAGCAAACTTTTTCAGCAGGGGGCTGGTCCACTGTCCCTCAGACCTTGTGGGGTGCCGGACTATATATTGGGAAAAGAATGAATTCCTATGCCCCACAAATAACCCAGAGATGCATTTTAAATAAAAGCACACATTCTACTCATGTAAAAACACACTGGTTCCCGGACCGTCCATGGGCCAGATTTAGAAGGTCCGGATTTAGGCCAGATCCAGATTAGTTTGCCTACCCATGTCCCTGAGGTTGGACACATTGCATTACACTTAGAGGGTCAGCAAAGGGGGGAAACCAAGGATGATGCTGGAACATTGATCCTTGCAAAAGGGCCATAGCTCAGTGGCAGAACATCTGCTTTGAATGCAGAGGATCCTGCGTTCAATCCTTGGCATCTTCAGGCAGGGGTGGCAAGAACTTCCTTCTGCAATCATGCAGAGATGCTGCTGGCCGTTACTGCAAATACAGAGGCAGATGGACCAATGACCTGACTCAACATAAGGCAGCTTCCTGTTCTCCTAAAATTCTGGAAGAAGCAACATACCCTCTGGAAACCCACCACACCCTCCCACACGCCAAGGTGAAAAATCAGGATGCCATCTTTTCAGGGCTGTGCAAGAGCGTGTCACAGTCCGGTCTACAGAGGATCGAAGTCCTGGCTGAGGACGTCGGGACCGGGGGTAAGATGGTGGGGTGGGAGCAGGAATGAGAGTCCAGAAGCCAGGGGTCCGAGGGTCAAGAAGCAAGGAGTCACGAAGCTGAGGTCCGAGGATCAGGCAGCAAGAAGCCAAACGCAGCAAGGCAGGAAACATGTTGCTGCGGCAAAGAGACAAAGAGAAATGCTGACCTTATATCCCTTCCTGGCTCTTGTCACCAGGTGCTGTGAGTTACCAAGCGGCCTCTCCTGTGCAGCCGCACCTTGCCTCTCCAGAACTTAGGAAGGCCCCAGTCCTGCAAAGCTCTACTGGTCACAGGGCTTGGCTCCTGCATGCACTCCTGACAGAGCACATCCCTGAAAAAAGCACCTCTTTTGAGACGTGATTGCGGAAACCA